AGACGAATGGGCTATTCTGTATTTTAACAGAAATTATTCGTTTAAATGATTTTGTTTTAAATGTATGATTATTTTTTGTCTAATGTATATTTAATTTACAAAATCACAAAAAGACATGATCCTTTATACCCCGGTTACATATTCATGGAATACGCCCACGGAAGAGCCACGGATTAATTCCGGCATCGTCCGTAGCTACCCGCACTGGTCAGTAGCTCTCCGTTTTGTAACCGTAATCAATCGTAGTAGTCCTTGTATATACGTAGCGATCCTTGACAATTTTGAACATGCACAAAAATTTGCTACGGAAAAATCAACCGTAGCGTATCCTTGCTAGTCCGTATTAAACCGTACTGATACGTACTGGGTCGTACGAAAACCGTACTAGTCCGTACTGATTCGTAGTCCAACAACTTGTCAAGGATTTCCACGGTTTGGTACGGAGAACTTCGTTTTTGTACGGTTATCTTACGTTTAAGCTACGTTTTTAATACGGATAAATACGACATTGTCACGGAAAGCCACGATCGTAATACGTTGTACTATGCAGAGGCAGGGATTAGCACGGTCTTTTACGGTTTATTGCGGTGCAACACGAAACGGTACGGAATAGTACAGTCCACCACTGTTTAGTAGGTAATCGCTATTGAACCACCATTAGCGGTAGGTACATTACGGGGACACCAGCGAGAAGAGGTTTCGGTAGAAACCGTAAGGTCACGGTAAAACCCGTAACTCCGCCCTTATGGTGAGAAGGTGTAATGATACTAAATTTTTTCATTCCTGTCACGATGAGAAACTTTAAACACATTCAGTCTTAATTAAACTCTGTTCATTTATAAATCAAAATGCTGCGAAAATAGTTCTTATATGTCTTTTGTACATGTAAATTTTTTTACATAATGCAGAATAGATAAAACCGAACATAGACGTTTTTCTAAGTGTTTATAGGGCATAATCATTTAAAGGACATGTACGTGTTTCATTAAAAAAATATGGAGCAACACTTTTAAATGTTATCAAAGACGTCAAAATACATTAAATGTCTCTGATTTAGAAAGTTTAAGTCAATAGGACATATGAGCCGTGTCACGACAAAACCAACGTAACGGGTTTGCGACCAGCATGGATCCAGATCGACTAGCCTGTGCATACACGCAGTCTGATCATGATCTATTTTGCTGTTCGCTTACAAACCCTGTAACAAGGGTCATATTGCGCGAATGCGCAGGCTGGTCTGGATCCTTGCTGGTCGCAAACCCATTACGTTGGTTTTGTCATGGCGCGCAGCTCATATCACTTACACGTGGGAGGTTTAGCGACAGAAACGCTCAGTGATGAGGTTCTATATTTATTTAGCAATATGAAGGAAGAACCTATAATAATAAACGAAACAGTTATAATAAATATTTTACAGTAGACAATTCATGCAATTCACAAATACAATGAATACAATTTTTACATTCATATCAACATTTCATATTTACTCCTGAATAGTCAGTACCTATAATCTCTTGTCCCTCCTTCTGTACAGTTTGCGCAATTACTAACAAGAACATCCCTCTACTATAATGCCTTTCTCCAATCAGCCTTTTTAAGAATGAAATGAGCTTTCCTCTTTTGTCTTTTGAATAAAATTCTGACAAAGTCCCCAAAATATTTCTATACAGGTACATGTATTCGAAAATGACAGATATACTCTCTGAATCATAAGCTTAACAAAAAAAACCTTAAGAAATTCACCACTGTGTCAAAGTGAACTTGCGAGAAAAAACACCACTTTTTCTTTGAATGTCAACGAAACAACACTATTAGAAACAGCCTCTTTCAGACTCTCTTGATAACTGTCACATGTGAATTTGTATAAGCATATATTGACCCCTTTCTATGAATCAACCCTTAACAACTCATTTAGAACAATCTACTAATTGTAGCAGTAATTACTTACCTAATGTAATGAAGCAATTCATGTATCTGATATATAATATCATGAATATTAAACAGCACGTACTATTTTTTTAGAAGCAATCATTTTGGTTAAATATCATACTTTTAGTATCAATCACTGTCCTCATTTCTTGAAGCACTTATTTACGATTAGTATGACGTCATAAATGCAGCAGTAATCACTTACCTGAAGCTTTAAGGAAGCGTTTCTTCCATAGTATATTTGATAAATAATGATACAATCCTCATTAATAAATTTGGTAAAATATCGTCATTGTAGTAGCAGTCACTAACTTGATTACGTGGAGCAATCTTTGAAAATGCACTCCATAAAATAGTATCGTTGCAGCAGTAATCTTTTATATCATTACTAGGAATTTGCACATATCGTATTTTATTGTCATTTTCTATTACCCATGATTCAGAAACCATTTAAGGTTAGTAGTAGTTAAATTTCTGGTAATTTATTCTGGAAAACCAATGCAAAGACAACAAAAGCCAATGCAAAGACAACAAAATTAAGGTAAATTAAGAAATTATCCAAATATATTGTCATATATTTCCTCAAAATAAATGGATGATAGGCAATCCTAAATATATGTCATGCACCTGTTTGCAAGAACATTTGTAAAATAAAAATAAGGGATCATTATGGTAAATAACAAAAACACAAGTTGGATCCTAAACCAGTTTTATTACACATAAATGCAAAATTGAAAAATTGACATTCTTTAACAAATATAGCAAGGACTAATCTCAAGTTTTCCTTTTATTAAAAGTACAGAAATACACGATAGTGATAACATTGTGTTGAACAGTTTTCAGAAACTAAATCATGTTGCATATAGACTGCAATCAAAAATAGAAGGTATGTAACGGTATACATTAAAAAGGAAATAAATAGAAGTAAATAAAAACTCAGGTTATTTCATGAATGTGAATGGCAAGTTTTGCATGGTTTTCAATTTTAAGTGCATTGGATAATTTAAGTAAGAAGTTAAGTCTTTTGGTAATAAGTGGAGCTACTGTAAGTACTTATCAAATGTGTATGGTCATTAAAGTTGTACTATCCGCTCTCAAACAATATATTCATTTAAAAAAGCAAGCTCTCATTACATGATTAAAATAAAGTATTTAAGAACTTAAATATATGAATGTATGTTAAATGAATTAAAATTTTATTATAAAAACTATTCATATAGCCAATTATTATTATCTACCACTATAATATCATACTTTGTCCTTATATATCTTATAATTATTAACTACGTACACTGGTGGCTAAATATTGCATCATTTTATGTCCTCATATATCTCATTATTATTACCTACCTACACAAGTGGGCGACAACCATACATACCATCTAGTCCTTATCTCCCTAACTATTATTATCCAACTTAACTGGTGCCCATCTATGATATAATATCTAGTCTTGGAATATCCAATTATAATTACCTACCTACACTGGTGGCCCACTATTAATTCCTATTAAGCCTTAATATATCTTATTATAAATACCTACCTACACTGGTGGGCCACTATTACAAACTATCTAGTCTTCGAAAATTTAATCATTAATACCTACATACACTGGTGGGCCACTATCAAAATCATATTCAACCTTACTATACCTCATTATAAATACCTACCTGCACTGGTGGGCCACTATCACAAACTATCTAGTCTTGAAATATCTTATTATGAATACCTACCTATACTGGTGGGCCACTATAACAAACTATCTGGTCTTGAAATATCTTATTATTAATACTTACTTACACTGATGGACCACTATTACAAACTATCTAGTCTTTGAAAATCTAATCATTAATACCTACCTACACTGGTGGGCCACTTTTAAAATCTTATTCAACCTTACTATACCTCATTATAAATACCTACCTACACTGGTGGGCCACTATTACAAACAATCTAGTCTTGAAATATCTTATTATAAATACCTACCTACACTGGTGGGCCACTATTACAAACTATCTAGTCTTGAAATATCTTATTATAAATACCTACCTACACTGGTGGGCCACTATTACAAACTATCTAATCTTGAAATATCTTATTATAAATACCTACCTACACTGGTGGGCCACTATTACAAACAATCTAGTCTTGAAATATCTTATTATAAATACCTACCTCCACTGGAGGGCCACTATTACAAACAATCTAGTCTTGAAATATCTTATTATTAATATCTACCTACATTGGTGGGCCACTATTACAAACTATCTAATCTTGAAATATCTTATTGTTTATACCTACCTACACTGGGGGCCACTATTACAAACAATCTAGTCTTGAAATAATTTATTATAAATACCTACCTACACTGGTGGGCCACTATAACAAACTATCTAATCTTGAAATATCTTATTATAAATACCTAGCCTACACTGGTGGGCCACTATTACAAACTATCTAGTCTTGAAATATCTTATTATAAATACCTACCTACACTGGTGGGCCACTATTACAAACTATCTAGTCTTGAAATATCTTATTATAAATACCTACCTACACTGGTGGGCCACTATTACAAACTATCTAGTCTTGAAATATCTTATTATGAATACCTACCTACACTGGTGGGCCACTATTACAAACAATCTAGTCTTGAAATATCTTATTATAAATACCTACCTACACTGGTGGGCAACTAGTAGAAACTATCTTATTTTGAAATATTTTATTGTAAATACCTACCTTCACTGGAAGGCCACTATTACAAACAATCTATTCTTGAAATATATTATTATAAATACCAACCTACACTGATGGGCCAATATTACAAACTATCTAGTCTTGAAATATCTTATTATAAATACCTACCTACACTGGTGGGCCACTATTACAAACAATCTAGTCTTGAAATATCTTATTATTTATACATACCTACACTGGTGGGCCACTATTACAAACTATCTAGTCTTGAAATATCTTATTATGAATACCTACCTTCACTGGTGGGCCACTATTACAAACTATGTAGTCTTGTAATATCTTATTATTAATACCTACCTACACTGGTGGGCCACTAGAAGAAACTATCTAGTCTTGAAATATCTTATTATAAATACCTACCTACACTGGTGGGCCACTATTACAAACTATCTAATCTTGAAATATCTTATTGTAAATACCTACCTACACTGGTGGGCCACTATTACAAACTATCTAGTCTTGAAATATCTTATTGTAAATACCTACCTACACTGGTGGGCCACTATTACAAATAATCTAGTCTTGAAATATCTAATTATAAATACCTACCTACACTGGTGGGCCACTATTACAAACAATCTAGTCTTGAAATATGTAATTATAAATTCCTACCTACACTGGTGGGTCACTATTAGAAACTATCTAGTGTTGAAATATCTTTTTATTAATACCTACATACACTGGTGGCCCACTATTAAACCTTATTTAACCTTAATATTTACCTCAATATAAATACCTACCTACATTGGTGGGCCACTATCACAAACTATCTAGTCTTGAAATTTCTAATCATTAACACCTACCTACACTGGTGGGCCACTATTAAAATCTTATTCAACCTTACTCTACATCATTATAAATACCTACCTACACTGGTGGGCCACTATTACAAACTATCTAGTCTTGAAATATCTTATTACTAATACCTACCTACACTGGTGGGCAACTATTACAAACTATTTAGTCTTGAAATATCTAATTAATTATACCTACCTACATTGGTGAGCGACTATTATATCACATTATGTCCTTATATATCTTATTTACTACCTACAGTTTTGGCTAAATATTACATCTCATTGTAATTGGGGTGTCTGAAAATGTTGTTTAATTGACCATTTAGTTACCTATTCTTTGAATATGTTTGAATCTGTGAGTATGTGTTTATATTTATAACAGAAATACATTGAAGTAGCACAAAATCTTTTACAGAATACACCAATTTATCATTAATGCAGTAATGGGTTAATCTGCTACTGCACTGAGGTGACAAAATGTTCAATTTGGTGTTGATCTAGTATGTTTACAATGTATTTACAGTTATATCATGCCAATATAAAATTTCTCATATGGTAAAATTGAATTTTACAGTAAGTTATCCAAATATATCCCCAAGTCTAACCTTGACCTTTGGACAATGACCTTGCACAAAACATAATACTACAGTATTTGTATATTGAAGCTTACATTTGCCAGCTAACAGATGGACAGACTGCTGCATGCACAAAAACTGTTGTCAGAACACACACAAAAAAGAAATATAATAATTACGATTGTTACACATTATCTGTCTCCAGTATCAAAAAAAAAATAAATGGTTAAACAGCTACAATTTTAACTTCTATCAATATATATAAAGAGCTAAAATTTTTAATAATAAATAGGATTTGATTTTTTGTAAGTACATATATCATTACTTTAACTTTAAAGAGGTTTCTTAAAAAAATATATCAATAGCATGAATATTAGTTTTAATTTACAGTATAAAAACAAGCTACTTTCAGTAAAAAGCATCCTAAATAGAGGATATTGGATGAGTGTACATGTTACTAAGGTTTAATACTAAATTTATTGAACGAGTTGAATAAAATCATATTATACGAGCCTCTGGCGAGCATAATATTGTTTTATTCAACTTTTCAATAAATTTAGTATGGAACCTATACGAATATTCTATTTATCACATACCCAAAAAGAGAACGGCTTATAGTTAAAATGAGTCATTTTCATTGACGTGCCTTTAGTGTAACGCTAACATTAGCGCGCAATAACTCTATGACGTCATGACAAAGTGTTATTACACTAGAGTAATATTGATTTATTAAATGGCTTTATTACACTCATGTGCCGTGGTTTATGTGATAATTAGAGTTATTTAAACAGGTAATAAATTTTACAATAGCAAAATTTTACAACATATACCTTATAACAATGGAATGAAGCAGTTCTGACTAATATTTAAAACATCATTTACATATGAAACAAACTGTAACTTAAAAAAATCTAAAACTGCTAAAAATCCATTAATTTCAAGCTGATCGATTTCTTGTGTGTGTGTGTACACTATTGTCATTATTGTTAGAGTTGTGCTATATTTCTGCTCTGTTTAATTGATGGTGTCATCCATTACCCTTGATTTGGTTTTTCACATCCGCTTAATATAAAACTTCCATACTGTATACCCAACCAGACCTGAAAGAAGAAAAAAAAATTAATGTCAAAAGAAAATCATGAGAAACAAAATATTTAGTTAAATACATGTCATGTGTAATAATCAATATGCAACCCTCATTCTTCCATACACTTGAACTCTTAACCTGGTGGAACATGGGGCCATTAGCCTTTGTCACAGTAAAGAGCAGGCCAGCCTGCACTTTCGTGGGGTCTTACAAAGTCCTCAACTGTTGGAAGCTCAATTTTTGAGTTTATTTTCCAATTCACCTAAACTTTGAACTAGCGGTTCTAAATTCAAAGCAAGGTCAATATCTATTTCACAAGTTGAGCAGGTAAAGTGTTATTTAAAACAGACTTGTCATGCTTTCTTCTTGTACCTGATTCTTGCAAAATTAATAGATTAAACATTATCTGCAACTTTTAAAATAGCAAACCTATGTTTAGACATAAGGTCAGGAAATATTACTTAAGTTGCATTATTAGGGCCTACAAAATTTGATATCGGATTGCCAATTTTGTCAGCTCTTTTCTTATACATGTAGTATACAAAAGAACACATTTCCTTTTTTAAACAACTTCTTGAAAGTAATAGCCAACCTATATATAGACAGAAGGGGCAGGAAATATACATTTTATTTGTGTAATGGCTTAATGCCTAATATCCTGAAATAAGTTATACATTTGACATTTAAGACCAACCTTCATAAGTACCAGACTGTACCATTTGGTGTTGGAATTAGTTTTGGAAATGATTTACTTACCTAGAAATCCTAAAATCCACAAATAAGCAATTTGTTTTGGAAGTGGTTAGTTGATAGTTTCATAACCAAACTTAACAGTTACCAGAAGTTCCTTGATGACAATTGCTAGAATCATCCATGATTTTCAACCAAACTTGTTCAGCTCTCTGGAATATAGATATTACCTCTTACATGTAAGATTAACACATTGTGATATTTTAAGTACTTGATACAAAATATTTCCTGTCTTGAAGGTTTTAACACAGATTTTAACACATTTTTTTGTTTATACCTTTGCAGATGATTCACCTAAATGACTTTCCTGGAAAATAAACTAGTAACTACCAATTTCTATATAAGTGATCTACTACTTCTACATGATTTTTGCGACGGACGCGCCCTCAGGCGCGTTCAGAGCTATGTCATCTACACATGGGATTTCGTTGGCTACAATCGCGCAATGTGTCCTCAACCGAATAACAGTCCACGAAATAGTACATAAATTTGATCCTATGAAACTCCCATACTTCGTCGGGATATCCTAAAAACTTTCATATTTAGCCTTTTTAATTTCAAATTAAGTTATCCAAGTTAAAATATAAACGTATTTGATTGAAAAAACCGCTGTAGCCCCGTAGTATTATTGCGCAATTATGCAAATAACTGCTGAAACGATTTACCGCTGTCGAAAAAGTAGGACAGCAAATTATGCTATAATTAAGGAGTAAGCTCAATAATTCATAGAAATTATAAGCAGGAAATAAATATTTCCCCATTAAACAAAAAAAATTTATTAACAGATCAAAAGTTTTTCGTGACTTTAGAATAACTCGCGCATTAATAAAAGAAGAACTCTTTTCGTGACTCATACCGCGGGTTTAGCTGAATATCCAGCAGTTATTAATAAATTAGACTACAGTACACTATATCTATTTTTGAAAATGCATGTAACAAGGGAGTTTTTCAACACTTTACCACCATGTAGTCTTTCATGGTAATCTTTATTGAAGGAAGTTATAATATCAGTTCTACTTCCGATTCTTTTGTTTTGTTTACATAGTTTTCTAGGTCACAATATGAGTTAACCTGCTATGAGATTATAATAGCCTTCGACCAGAAGATAACACTATTCTAAAAATAGATTCTGCATCATCTGTGCTGACTTTCAGACGAGTACACATTATACATGTAATAAACCAGCGGATACTTACTTTGTTTACATGCAATACTTTAAGAAATTCTATACAATTGTAAGAAGCAAACAAGTTGAAAATTGAATTAAGTGTGAAATTGAAAGAGAAAAACTAAACACTGTAGTGCTTAAGTGACGTAAATGGAAAAAAAAATACACCATTAATTGCTGATGATTTTAACCAAAATATTTTTAATGAGACATATCCAAGAGAAATAAAAAATAAAAATACAAATGACTTATATTTTATTGTCTATATGCCCACTATGATATAACACGAAGCAATTCTAATTAACATTCTCACATGTATAATGTATTATGATTGAAATTTATTTGCATGGTTTTATTTTAGAAATATTTCGTTGACAGTTTTTTTTTCTATTTACATATCATTTCTTGGAATAAATCGAATAAATCGATAAGGACACTGATTTACAAGTTTGACCAGAGTTTTTAGGCATACATTTCATTCTGTATTTAAAAATTTGGACTTGTTCTGCTTGAAAGTAGAAAATCTGAATTATATTAGAGTGGGACATATAAAATATATTGCTCTACAAATCTCGAACTTGTATGGAACAAATTTTCTCTGTTATATCTTTTGTGTTTTTTTTTTTTTTTCTAAAAAAAAGCCTTAATGTCTCTCCGGTTGCATGTCCGTTGCATTCAATGCTGCAGCACTTTGATTTAATCAGGAGTGAGAGAGATAATGTTGAACTATAGACCCTGGATTATTTATTAAATGCTCTCCCTATATAGGTATAGAGGTATAGTAAGGTTGAATAAGATTTTAAAAGTGGCCCACCAGTGAAGGTAGGTATTAATGATTAGGTTTTCCAAGATTAGATAGTTTGTAATAGTGGCCCACCAGTGTAGGTAGGTATTCATAATATTTGTTTGTTTGTTTGTTTGTTTCATTTTACACCTTTTCCCAAAAGTATTTCAGTCATATAGGCGGGTAGTTTCCTATCCATCGTTCCTGGAGAGTTACACCAGTACAAGACTACCTTCCTCCGCGCGAAACTACCAAAGCATCTCCCGGGGATCAAACCCACGCCAGTATTCATAATAAGATTTTCCAAGATTAAATAGTTTGTAATAGTGGCCCACCAGTGTACATGTAGGTAGGTATTAATAATAAGATATTTCAATACTAGATAGTTTGTAATAGTGGCCCAACAGTGTAGGTAGGTATTTATTAAGAGGTATAGTAAGGTTGAATAAGATTTTAAAAGTGGCCCACCAGTGTAGGTAGGTATTAATGATTAGATTTTCCAAGATTAGAAAGTTTGTAATAGTAGCCCACCAGTGTAGGTAGGTATTCATAATAAGATTTTCCAAGATTAAATAGTTTGTAATAGTGGCCCACCAGTCTAGGTAGGTATTAATAATGAGATATTTCAGGATTAGATAGTTTGTAAAAGCGGGCCCACCAGTGTAGGTAGGTATTCATAATAAGATATTTCAAGACTAGATAGTTTGTAATAGTGGCCCACCAGTGTAGGTAGGTATTTACTAAGAGGTATAGTAAGGTTGAACAAGATTTTAAAAGTTGCCCACCAGTGTAGGTAGGTATTTATAATAAGATATTTCAAGACTAGATAGTTTGTAATAGTGGCTCACCAGTGTAGGTAGGTATTCATAATAAGATATTTCAAGACTACATAGTTTGTAATAGTAGACCACCAGTGTAAATAGGTATTAATAATAAAATATTGCAAGACTAGATAGTTTGTAATAGTGGCCCACCAGTGTATGTAGGTATTCAGAATAAGATATTTCAAGACTAGATAGTTTGTAATAGTGGCCCACCAGTGTAAGTAGGTATTAATAATAAGATATTTCAAGACTAGATAGTTTGTGATAGTGGCCCACCAGTGTAGGTAGGTATTTATAAAGAGGTATAGTAAGGTTGAATAAGATTTTAATAGTGGCCCAACAGTGTAGGTAGGTATTAATGATTAGATTTTCCAAGACTAGATAGTTTGTAAAAGTGGCCCACCAGTGTAGGTAGGTATTAATATTAAAATATTTCAAGACTGGATAGTTTGTGATAGTGGCCCACCAGTGTAGGTAGGTTTTTATAAAGAGGTATAGTAAGGTTGAATAAGATTTTAATAGTGGCCCAACAGTGTAGGTAGGTATTAATAATTAGATTTTCCAAGACTAGATAGTTTCTACTAGTGGCCCACCAGTGTAGGTAGGTATTAATAATAAGATATTTCAAGATTAGATTGTTTGTAATAGTGGCCCACCAGTGTAGGTAGGTATTAATAATAAGATATTTCAGGATATGATAGTTTGTAAAAGTGGCCCACCAGTGTAGGTAGGTATTAATAATAAGATATTTCAAGACTAGATAGTTTGTACTAGTGGCCCACCAGTGTAGGTAGGTATTAATAATAAGATATTTCAAGACTAGATTGTTTGTAATAGTGGCCCACCAATGTTGGTATGTATAAATATTAAGATATTTCAAGACAAGATTGTTTGTAATAGTGGCCCACCAGTGTAGGTAGGTATTTATAATAAGATATTTCAGGATATGATAGTTTGTAAATGTGGCCCACCAGTGTAGGTAGGTATTCATAATAAGATATTTCAAGACTAGATAGTTTCTACTAGTGGCCCACCAGTATAGGTAGGTATTTATAATAAGATATTTCAAGACTAGATTGTTTGTAATAGTGGCCCACCAGTATAGGTGGGTATTTATAATAAGATATTTCAAGACTAGATTGTTTGTAATAGTGGCCCACCAGTGTAGGTAGGTATTCATAATAAGATATTTCAAGACTAGATTGTTTGTAATAGTGGCCCACCAGTGTAGGTAGGTATTAATAATAAGATATTTCAAGACTGGATAGTTTGTGATAATGGCCCACCATTGTAGGTAGGTATTCATAATAAGATATTTCAAGACAAGATAGATTGTGATAGTGACCCACCAGGGTAGGTAGGTGTAAATAATAAGATATTTCAAGACTAAACAGGTTGGAATAGTGGCCCACCAGTGTAGGTAGGTATTCATAATAAGATATTTCAAGACTAGATAGTTTGTAATAGTGGCCCACCAGTGTAGGTAGGTATTCATTAAAAGATATTTCAAGACTAGATAGTTTGTAATAGTGGCCCACCAGTGTAGGTAGGTATTAATAATAAGATATTTCAAGACTAGATTGATTGTGATAGTGACCCACCACGATAGGTAGGTGTTAATAATACGATATTTCAATACTGGATAATTTGTGATAGTGGCCCACCAGTGTAGGTAGGTATTAATATTAAAATATTTCAAGACTGGATAGTTTGTGATAGTGGCCCACCAGTGTAGGTAGGTATTTATAAAGAGGTATAGTTAGGTTGAATAAGATTTTAATAGTGGCCCAACAGTGTAGGTAGGTATTAATGATTAGATTTTCCAAAACTAGATAGTTTGTAATAGTGGCCCACCAGTGTAGGTAGGTATTAATAATAAGATATTTCAAGACTAAATTGTTTGTAATAGTGGCCCAGCAGTGTTGGTTGGTATTTATATTAGGATATTTCAAGACTAGTTAGTTAGTAATAGTGGCCCACCAGTGTAGGTAGGTATTTATAATAAGATATTTCAAGACTGGATTGTTTGTAATAGTGGCCCACCAGTGTAGGTAGGTCCTAATAATAAGATATTTCAAGACTAGATAGTTTGTGATAGTGGCCCACCAGTGTAAGTAGGTATTAATCATGAAGTATAGTAAGGTCAAATAAGATTTTAATAGATGCCCACCAGTGTAGGTAGGTATTAATGATTAGCTTTTCCAAGACTAGCTAGTTTGTAAAAGTGGCCCACCAGTCTAGGTTAAGGTAGGTATAGATAATAAGATATTTCAAGACTACATTGTTTGTAATAGTGGCCCACCCATGCAGGTAGGTTTTCATAATGAAATATTGTAAGGTTGAATAAGATTTTAGTAGTGGCCCACCAGTGTAGGTAGGTATTAATGATTAGATTTTCCAAGACTAGATAGTTTGTAAAGTGGCCCACCAGTGTAGGTAGGTTTTCATAATGAAATATTGTAAGGCTGAATAAGATTTTGATAGTGGCCCACCAGTGTAGGTAGGTATTAATGATTATATTTTCCAAAACTAGATAGTTTTGTTAAAGTGGCCCACCAGTGTAGGAAGGTAAAGATAATAAGATATTTCAAGAGTAGATAGTTTGTAATAGTGGCCTACCAGTGAAGGTAGGTATTCATAATAAGTTATTTCAAGACTAGATAGTTTGTGATAGTGGCCCACCAGTGTAGGTAGGTATTAATAATGAGAGATTTCAAGACTAGTTAGTCAGTAATAGTGGCCCACAAGTGTAGGTAGGTATTCATAATAAGATATTTCAAGACTAAATTGTTTGTAATAGTGGCCCAGCAGTGTAGGTTGGTATTTATATTAAGATATTTCAAGACAAGTTAGTTAGTAATAGTGGCCCACCAGTGTAGGTAGGTATTTATATTAAGATAGTTCAAGACTAGATTGTTTGTAATAGTGGCCCGCCAGTGAAGGAAGGTATTTATAATAAGATATTTCAAGACTAGTTTGTTTGTAATAGTAGCCCACCAGTGAAGGTAGGTATTGATAATTTGATATTTCAAGACTAGATTGTTTATGATAGTGGCCAACCAGTGTAGGTAGGTATTTATAATGAGGTATAGTAAGGTTGAATAAGATTTTATTAGTCGCCCACCAGTGTATGTAGGTATAAATGATTAGCTTTTCCAAGAATAAGATAGTTTGTAATAGTGGCCCACCAGTGTAAGTAGGAATTTAAAATAAGATATATCAAGACTAGATTGTTTGTAATAGTGGCCCAACAGTGTAGGTAGGTCTTAATAATAAGATATTTCAACATTAGATAGTTTGTTATAGTGGCCCACCAGTGTAGGTAGGTATTCATAATGAGATATAGTAAGGTTGAATAAGATTAAAATAGGGGCCCACCAGTGTAGGTAGGTATTAATGATTAGATTTTCCAAGATACGATAGTTTGTAATAGTGGCCCACCAGTGTAGGTAGGTATTAAAAATAAAGATACTTCAAGATTAGATAGTTTGTGATAGAGGTCCACCAGTGTAGGTAGGTATTTATCATAAGATATTTCAAGACTAGATAGTTTTTGATAGTGGCCCACCAGTGTAGTTTGGTACTTATAATGAGGTATAGTAAGGTTGAAATAAGATTTTTAATAGTGACCCAGCAGTGTAGGTAGGTATTATTGATTAGCTTTTCCAAGACTAGATAGTTTGTAATAGTGGCCCACCAATGTAGGTAGGTATTAATAATAAGACATTTCAAGACTAAATAGTTTGTAAGAGAAGCCCACCAGTGTAGGTAGGTATTTATAATAAGATATTTCAAGACAAGATAGTTAGTTATAATGGCCGACCTGTGTAGGTAGGTATTAAAGATTAGATATTTCAAGACATGATAGTTTGTTATAGTGGCTCACCAGTGTAGGTAGGTATCATAGTAAGATATGTTAATGATATATAGGATTTAATCGTGGGATACCAGTGTAGGTAGGTATTAATGATTAGATATTTTAAGACTAGATAATTTTTATAAATAGTGGCTCACCAGTGTAGGTCGGTATTTATAATGAGGTATAGTAAGATTGAATAAGATTTAATAGTAGGCCTCTAGTGTAGGTAGGAATAAATGAATAGATATTTCAAGACTAGATGGTATATTAAAATTGGCCCACCAGTGTATGTAGGTATTAAAATAAGATATGTTAAGGAATAAAAGGTTTTTAAGAGGGGGCCCCCCCAGTGTAGGAAAGTTTAAAAATTAAAATTTTTTTTAAAATCTAAATGTTTGTAAATTTTTTACCTTTTTTTAAAATTTTAAAATTTTTTCCCAAAAACAAATAGTTATTTTTTCCCGTTATGGTTTTTGGATAATTGTTAAGGTTAAATATAAATTTAAAAGTGGGTTTCACCGTTCCCTAGGTACATAAAGGAAATTAAATGATAAATTTAAAAACAAAAAGATGTAAATGGTGTCCAAAAAAGGGCAGGGGAGGTATTTTAGAGATTGCTAACTTTTTAATATTTGGGCCATAAATGTGGTAGGTATTAAAAATTAAAATATTTCAAAACTAGATGATTTAAATTAGAAAGGCTAGCATGGGGTAGGTTTATTTTTTTCATAATACTGCACTTTTTGAAAGTCATTTTTCTTGGGAAAAAGGGGTGATGTTATATATTTTTATATACAGGGCCCGTTTTTGGGATTCATAAAAAAAATTTACTTTTTTCTCTAAAAAAAATGATGCTACCTGTATTATAAATGTGTTATAAAGATTGCTGAAAGGTTATATTGCTGTATATAAATGGCTGTTTGCAATATAACCCTTGCCTAGAGGCTCTGGTTATATCTACAAATAGCCATTTATATAGGGCCATATAACCTGTCAACAATCTTTAAACTGATAATATATTTCAAGACTAGATAGCAGGTAATAGTGGCCAAGAAGTGTAGGTAGGTATTTATATTTAGATATTTCAAGACTAGATGGTATGTAATAGTGGGTTGCCAATGTAGGTATATACGGTAGATACATGTAAGTGACTCACATATGGCTTGGACTTTGGCTAGCTGTACGGCTAGATATTTCCTTCCATTTTTTTTCTAAAGCCTCATCATATGCGCATCAGCTGATCAGTCCAGAGCTCTGAAAGACATCAGCAAAACATGATACTATCAGAGCATATTTTTATCTTACAAAGCAAATTGAATCACGTGAATATTATAAAAAGAAAACATTGTCAATGGTCGGCAATTCACGTATTGCTTAATATAGAAAAAGGCTGAAATGTCTTTGGGTCGATTTAGTTTTGGACGAAACGTCCTGCGAAATTAACATATATATAAAAAGCAGTAAATAAACTAAGCAGCAAAAGTATTGACCGTAGCCCAGCTTACACCATTCTTCTCATTTTTTCCTTGCCACAAATCGGCCACTGTTTTAAGTTTCAAGTTGTAAAATCATTTTTTGAGCTTCATCGTTGCTTTTTGTTATTATAGTAGCCATGTTGGATGTAGAGGGCGGAGTTACGGTTATTACCGTAACCTTACGGTTTCTACCGTAACCTCTCCTCACTGGTGTCCCCGTAATGTACCTACCGCTAATGGTGGGTCAATAGCGATTACCCCTGTTTAGTACGGATGAATTAATTATCATGTACTTTCTCAAGGGTATAAATACTACCTTCTTTGTTAAAAACAGACATATTTGAGACAACATTCAATAAATAATAATTGCCATTTACTGGCTGCAATTTTATATTGAAATGGCTCAGAAAACGGAGGAATGATCGAGCTGCTTGATGACATGCATAGAGATAAAAAAAAATTTAATATTGTACTACAATTCATTAGTAATAGAATAACATTTAATGTTACATATTTTACAAACATTGGATCGTGAAATTGGAAGTAAATATGAACATAAAACGAAGTGTCTCATAAGCATCGGACGCTGGCCCTTGAGTGATCATAAGATGAATTAACAAGCTTTTTACATATTTTTTAAACATAAACATTCACGATAGTTAATGTAATTGTAAATTTTAAAATTAAAAGAGAAGCAGTATTGATCAACATTTTTCATTAATGATAACTAGTCCATATCTAATCAGGTAAGAGAAGACAGTCGAGATGGTGGACTAGAGATGGGCTTTTACGAAGACCGCTTCATGTTTAGTATGAGGCTCTCATGGCCGAACTTGCTGAGGATCCATCGTTCTTCAAGAATTTCACTATAATCGGACCTGATGTGTCTCGGGGGTCGGACGCGATTAGGCCGAAACCTCTCCGCCAAAATCATTGAACTCTGCAATTCGTTTTCTAGGTGTTTTTTTATGTGAGGCATTTTGAAAATGAACATGCAAGAGGTTGTGGACAGATGTATTAGGTCCGTATAGATCCATGGCAATTCGTTCTTCTCCGTATCAATTCGTTCTTCTCCGTATCAGACCGTACTTATTCGTACTAACCCTATCTTATACCGTAGCAGACCGAATTGTATCCGTAGTGCGTCCGTCCTGATTCGTGTCGCTCCGTATCAAACCGTGTCTGTCCGTAACAATCCATGTCTAACCGGGGGCTTTTGGTGGTAAATCCGTCGGACTCCGTACTCATACCGTCGTGTGTCCGTACTAGAACCGTAACGGACTACGGAATTTCACATTTCCGTAGTAATCCGTGAATGATTAGATCGTAGCTCTTCCGTGGCATTATCTGTGAATTAAGTAAAATAGACCTTATATTTAGCGTTACTATTATTTTGGTCATAATCGCTTTAAAATTGAGACCCGGTTTGTCTAATACAATAGTCAAAATAAAATCACTATTAACTTCAATTTACACTTTGTATGCTTTGTCATTTTACTGTTTAAATATATGCGCTGAATTGGTAATAAAATGTGTCAGTATTGATTTTTATGTAATTAAAGAAAAAAACCGAATCATTTCTTATTTTCAAATTTGCAACGATATATATTACTAAAGTAGTATCATTTACATTTATCAATGACCATGAATCATTTTTATATCATAAGGAACACATGGTATGCTCATGGAAGCACTTCAATTAAGAACGAGTAGTTTAACAACTACACAGCAATCAAAGACAAACCCCTAATTACCAGATGCATATGCAAATGACTAGTCTCTCAAAAAATGGAAATACATGTTTGAGATTTAAATTAAAAGTTGTAAAGTTACTTTTAGTTAATATTTCTAAAAATTGTTCCGATTTCATGATGTAATTATTAGGATGTTTTCTTTTCTTTTGGTTTATACTTTGGAGTTAAGAGCCCTTTAAGTTAATAAGGCAATGCTCCTCCCAAAACATGACCATATGGTTAATATCATTATTTTAACACACACAATAAACAGTATCGGATGGTTTTCAAATTACCTCTGTTAGGAAGAATTATATAGTTTTTGCTTAGTTCGTTAATCAATCTGTTTGTTTTTTTCCAGTTCATTATTCTGTCATTCATTTTAGTTAAGTAATTATAATACTGCACGTTTGTAACGTTACTTTTCATTGGATAACCGTGACGTTTATATAGCTTATTATAAATTCGTTATAAATATTCCTGACAGGTTATATGGCCGTAAATAAACATTTGTTTGCAATATAACCTTCGCCTTGCGGCTATGGTTATATTTCCAAACAGCCGTTGATATAGGGCCATATAGCCTGTCAAAATATTTATAACTAATAAAATAAACGATATGTCACATGCAATATCAAAATTTAAGGTCTTACTTGAAAAGATATTTTTCATCTCAGAATATTTATGGTCAATCATAATTGATTTTTTAATGTTTGCAGCTTAAAGAATTCCTATTATGAGCAAGATCCTAACAAGCATCTCAAAGATCCATGCCTGTGACACTTGTGAAAATAGGGTTGTGTTCAGTCTATAACTTTCTTATTAATTGATGGGTTTTCAAGGGTTTGTTAGTAAAATGAATTGGTTCTTATATAAAAATAAAATGGTTTCTGACTTGAATATAAGTCATCATGTCATCATAAATGATGACTTTTTATGATGACTTCTGAAGAGGGTGTGCGTTACAGATGAGTGCACACCTACATAATGTAACAATAACGGACAACTGTGTCAGGGAATCGATTCTTTGTCTCGGTGGACTAGCACATTGTTACTTTTGCTTGTAAGGAGGTAGCAATTTCAAATCCCAGACGCAGCGTTATATTTACTGATACATCTGCATATTCCTGTGGCAAATAAGAAATGTACGTCAAACACCAAGCATTACATTTCTTATAAGTACATTGAATGGTCTAGTCCATATTTGTGCCATTTATACATAGATTTTGAAACACCTTATCATAATTTGCAGCTTATGAAGATACATGCATTCCACAAGAGCCAGTTCAGCTGCCAAAGGTGACACTTGGCTGTCAAAAGTCATGATATGATAGTACATTGGTTGATTGTCTTGTCAATAACTATGTTATCAGTCATTAACAGATGTTTTATTTTTTTAACATTAATATGTGCAACTTTAACACAATATTTAATGAGGGAGAAGAAGGGCCAAGATACAACTTAGACTGAAAATGTTATATTTTACATAAGTACATCAATGGTTGTGTTTCTATAAATTTTATTTTAACTATCTTCATCATTCATTCATGGATGTCTTTTTTTAAATAATTGGGCAATCTGAGATGATAAAAATGTATTTTGTTAATATTTCTTTATACTTGTTACAATCTAATTATAGTATTTATGCCTTCATGTGCATCAGAGATAAAGATAATTGTTCCTGTACTGACCGCCCCGCCTCGGGGCTATTCTTCTGTTTCCAACGAGAAATCTTTGTTCTGTTCTTTTTTTAATACTAAAACCTACTATTTCAATGTTTTAATAATTTAATATTGACTCTTATTTACAACGCACAAGTATATTGTTGACAAACACTCTTTATACAACAAATAAAATTTATTGGTCACAACTGCAGTTTTTAAATTGTTAGTTGATTCTTATCCTTTACAGGTCAAAAAATTAGACAACTTATATTATGACTAAATATATATTTTCAATCTTATTAATCAATAAATATAGACTGTCATTAAGCCTTTTATTGTATTGAACACATTCAAAATTGGTATTTATCAAGACATGCAAGTTGTAAAAATGGTTTAGAGACTCAATAAAAAAAGAATACTGTAAACAATTTCTCCTTTCATTATAAGTTGACATCAACATTCATGGTATTTAAAGTTGAATTTACTTTTATTTTCATACTTTTAGGTAAGATTTAGGAATGACCTGTGATATTTTACTGCAAGATCCTTTATACTCTGGATAAAATTAATGGACTGCATATGGACATATGTACAAATGTACAGACAGACAAAAGATGTAAATATAGGATCTTCCTTCAGGAGCATGAAACTTTACCTATCTTGTAAAAGGGTCCTTTGAAGATTCATCACTTACAGATTTGTGGTTTGAAAAAATATTGAAGTGCTCAAAATCAAAAGGGAGTATATACTGGTCATGTCCAAGCTCCACTGGACAAGATTTAATGAGTTGAAGGTCACGGTGGCAGTGGTCAAAGCCTAGCTGACTTATAATCAATAAATGTCATCTATTGGCCTCTGTACTATATACGAAGTGAATCTAATAGTAATCAAGTTATTAAGCGGACAAAGTTAAGCAGGTAAAGGTAACTGTGACAATGACCTTAAATGTTTTCAATAAGTAATTCTAACTTGATACATGTACCTACCATCGGGAACATGTGTGGATCTGTAAATGTTTGAGTTTGGAAATTAGGTAAACTTGGAAAGGATATTTTATTTACTTCATCTGCCATTATGAATTGACCCCTATACAACATTTTTAAAGAAGGGGATATTGCTTATTATATTGATTGAACATAGTATCTACAACCAATATGCGTCTTAGTGTCTCTGTTTTAAATATACTGGCTTTCAAAATAGCTTAAATGATTAATGAATAATATTTAACACTTTCATCAATGCATTTTAACTAACTACTACTATTTCATTTCTTATATCTAAATTAACTTTTCTAAACCTTAAAATATAAAGCTGAACACTTCCAGATTGGTAAATAAAATGTCAAAACTTCAAACTTAAGAAAATTGAAAAATATATTAAGAGTATCAACTTTATTTTGCTTAAACGTCGGACCAACACTGTAAAAAGGTCATATGGCGTTGCACCAACACTGTACTGGTCATATGGCGACTTTCTAACTAAACTGTTAGAGGAAGACCTCCGGTGCCTCAATGTAATATTTCAGGCACAAATTGGCACCTTGCAATTGGTAGAACAACTGACATTCTGGAACTCAAGCAAGCCCTAATTCAGGAATGGAGAAATATTCCCCAAGCTTTCATGAGAAACTACGCTATTGCCATGCGACAAGTGTTAACACGTTGTTTTAGCCAATTTGGAGGAAATTAGAACTGGTTAACATACATATTTAGTGGGATTCAGAGGCTTTTTATTTTGTTACGATATTGACAGTTCACAATTATGTGATTTTTCATTTTGCAGTAGCATATTTGTTTTTTTTTTCATTTTCTTTATTTTCTTGTCAATGAATTGTAAATACAATTGTAGGTAGTTAGTATGA